GTGTGTGTGTGTGTGTGTGTGTGTGTGTGTGTGTGTGTGTGTGTGTGTGTGAACCTCTCGTAACTTTTGAATGGCTTGACCGATTTCATCGCGGTTGGTGCTATTCGAAAGGGCTTCACTAAACTTAGATTTTCTGAAAATTTGAACCGATTCGGACCGGTAGATTTTGAGAAAATGCAAAAAAAGTGAAAAAACAGTGAAAAAAAAGTTGTTTTTTTTTTTTTTAATTTTTTTCAAATATCTCCGAATTGGCTGAACCGATCGGTCTCAAAATCTAATCAGCTCTTAACCTTGAAAACCTCCATCGATCGCCACCAAAAACGTTAGAATCGGTTGATGCGTTCGTGAGATATCGTTGACGAAAAAAATCGAAAAAAGTGTTTTTTTGTAATAACTTCGAAATTCATGGCTCGATCGATTTAAACTTAAAAATTTTTCATGGAGCTTCAGAAACTGCGTCGATTGCCGCCAACCGCGTGAAAATCGGTTCATTCATTCAAAAGTTATAGCAGTTTAAAAATTTTAAAAATCGTGTTTTATCAAATTTTGATAAGACTTTTGAGCTCGAAGAGCTCAGAAGCTTAAAACAGCTACTTTTTTTATAGAGTTCAAAAAACTGCGTCGATTGCCACCAACCACCTGAAAATCGGTTCATTCATTCAAAAGTTATTGCCGTTTGAAAATTCAAAAAATTGTGTGTTTAAACTGCTATTAGAGTTTTGAGCTCGAAGAGCTCAAATTGACACAAAAACAATATTTTTGAGCTCGAAGAGCTCAAAAACGTAATGTGTAGTTTGAAGCGTTTAAGTACAAAATGAGCGGGAAGTTGCAGGGATGACCTTTAGGGTGAACCGTTTTTCTAATTTTTTTTTTTTATTTTCTTAATTTTATTTTTTTTCCAATTTTGATCCAATTTAAGACATATATTTTTTAATTATTCAAACTCGTTCATTCATTTATATCGAATATTTTTAAATTGATACAAATCATAAGATAAAGCGTGCTAATATATCCGAAAAATATATCTATTGATCTTTTTGAAGACAAATGTGCATAAAATCATTTATCGCATTAATATCGTGATTATATCTTGTGCATTTTATGCAATGCAATATAGTTGTGGTTTTATTAAATTCATTAAAATTTGTTAATAGATTCAGAAAAGGAACTTCTTAATCTAATTTCATCTGGGAAAAGATTTCCGATTCCTCCAGGGCACTTGCAAAAATCTTGCACTGAAGAGAGTGACCTTGAATCTGTTCAGCCACGTGAAAAAATTGATGAAACAATCAAAGTCCAGGCTATTCTACAAAAAAAATTAGCTGTGAAACAACAAAAACTAATGGTAAGCTTCATTATTAATAGTTTAAGCTCTGTTAATATCGGAAATTTTTTTTTGTAAAAATGTCATATATTCAAATCTAAAAGATTTTATCATCTGGATGTAAAAAAAAGTTATATATTTTATCTTTGTGAGTCAAAGTGAATATTAATTTCCCAATTAGAGGACACTAGCGAGAAGTTTGAAGAATGACGCGTAGAGATACCCTTTTAAGATATTTTTGTGATTATGAGATTGAAGTAGATCGATATGAATCTCCATAGATAAGATATTGGTGCATTAAAATAAAAAAAAAATTTTTATTTAAATTTAAATTCGATAACCCTTGCATTTATGCAGAATTAAAAAATGTTGACATACATATGAATATCTACGTGGATGTTAAAAATTTCTTTCTGGCATTTCAAAATTTATATCATATTTGAATTTTGAACAAGTTTTTCTTAAGGTTAAAATATAGTAAAGTATCATGGCTAAATGAATTTTCTTATCTTTTGCACGACTCATCATGCGAAGCATCAGAAAGCGCTTTACGATCGAAAAATTTTTTTCGCCTCATTTTGGCAGCTATTTTTATTATTATAGCCTTGTTAGTTCACGGAATCAAGATATTTTGCATACTATTGTCGAGATAATTTAATGGAGATTAATTCCATACTTTTTAAAAATTGATTTACTGCAATAGAATTGGAAAAAAACACCAAAATAGGCCAAAAAATTTTCCTGTCCGTCATGTGTGAAACCCGGAAACACAGTAACTTGTGAAAAAATCCATTATTTGAGTTAAATTTTTTTTTTTTTAAATTCTAATCGACGATTGTAGGTCACTGAATGCGAATGATTAATTAATTCAGTGTCGTTTAATTACAATTAATAAAAAACGAAAACTACAAGACTGTATATCTATATATATTAGGGTGTGCCAAAATGTAACTCCCGTGGAGGACCTTTTAGAATTGGAATTTTGAGTTCCGCTTTTAAAAGCAGCTCTGTTGAGGTCTTACCTAAGATATTTTGGATTGAGACGACGAATTTGATTTTCATAGAATTTTTTATCCGGAGCTTAGTTTGGGCACTTCCGCTGAAAATTCAAATTTTGGCCGGAAGTGTCCAACTAAACCTCCTGCTAAAAAATTCTATGAAAATCAAATTCGTCGTCTCAATCCAAAATATCTTAGGAAAGACCTAAACAGAGCTGCTTTTAAAAGCGGAACTCAAAATTCCAATTCTAAAAGGTCCTCCACGGGAGTTACATTTTGGCACACCCTAATATATATAGACAGTTGGTATCGAAATGTAACTGTTAGATTTTTATAAGTTCCAGTAATACTGTAAGATATGCGTAACTAAAAATTTATATAGTTAATAATTTTAATTACGGTAGAGTCCATTGAATAATTTTTTATTTATTCCTTATCGTTTATGAGAGACACGTCCTTTAGCCGAGAAATTCTTAATTTCAGCGCCATATACTTCATTTATTACTGCAGTCACTAGATTTCGCCAATTATTTTCAGCATTTTCTTCGATGTCAGCAATAATGGTTTTATCCATGTAGAAACCGCATCCTGGTGATATTTCAGCCTAAAAATTTTTATTGCATTATTATTATTATTATTATTTATATCCTGTTGATTATTGTAAACATATCTTATTACTTTCTTTTCTTCTTTCTTGAAATAATGTAGTGGAATCTATAAATATAAAAGAAGTAAATAATTATTATTATACAGTATACAGACTAATACATATATTAATGAAATAGCTTATTGATAGAAGTATATTATCAGAGCTTCCATGATAACTGATCCCAGCCGTTTGGTCCCAGCAGCCCTTTTATCATAGATTTTGTGTGTATTTATCTGAAACTAGGTAAACACAACTATCGTGCTATTAAATGTCTGGGACCAGTTATCGGCGCACCATTATCAGAAGTATTCGAACAGTCCTATTAATCAATTTCTGCAATTTAACGTAAAAAAAATTGAAATAATCTAGTGTGATTTTCAGGAAAAATTATAATTCTTTTCAATAATAACGAAAAATACTTTAATATAAGTCAAAAACTCCCTAAGATATATATTTTATTATTGTCGTTTCTAAGATTTTAAAGAATTAATTTTTTAGTTCTAGTGATCTCTAATGTTGAGATTGCTCATTATTGTTACATGTGGCTGAAAGCACCTGAAAGCACCACCTGATCATTTTTTTTTATTTTTTATTATTTTTATTATTTAATTTTGAAGTCCTCGGTAGATTCGCAGCGACCGCGTCACCCTCGTATTTTAACGACGACTGCCGAAGCTCGATTTGCGCACGAAATTTTATTTTATAATTAATATTTCAGTTATTTAAGTCTGTAGATTTTAAATAAAGTGAAGTAATTAAATGTAATGCGGTACCAGGCTATAATTCAAAGCCCGAGAAGTTGGCGACGAGAATCATCAACGAGAGAACCACCAGACAATTGTTATTAACAAGTACAATTGATGGAGTTTCGACGAGTATTAATTTTTTTTATTGATATTTTTATGATTTAAATAAATTTATAATTTATTTTTCTGTAACTCGGAGTCGATTATTCCGAGTAGACTCAAACCAATCATCCCGATTTCTCTGACTTAAATTAAATCCCGCTCTTCACTATTCGTCACCCTGAAGAACGAGTAGCTGAGACGAGCAGGAGGGACCGGCGAGATTGGAGCTTAGCTCCTGGCGCCCAGCAGCAACATGATTATTTCTTTATTTTATTTTAAGGTAGGTAGGTCAAAGTTGTTTCGGCCTTTACCCTTGACGACGCACTAGTGTGAATTAACCGTCACATTGTATGTTAGGTTGATTTTTAGATATTTTTCATACAACGGTTTACTTCTAAGTGAACTCAAAAAATAACATAACTTTAGCCAGTAAAAACTAAAAAATAACCAATGATGGTTTTTAAAATCAAGAAAATTTTCCGATTGCAGAGGACTCTTTAATGATTCGCATCATAAGCCTCACAGTATACAATTCTGATTATTATTTAAATCAAAAGTTTTGAAATAGATTTTTTCAATTGATACGCTTTATTTAGTATCTGTACTCTTTTCAAAAATAAAATCGATATCTTTTTTTGTATTTTTCAATTATCTGATTTTGTTTTTGAATATATTAAATTTATTTGTGTGAGATATTAAATAATTTTTTTTACTATTTTTCTGTAACACTGATGAAAAAATTAACTTGAGCCAAGAAAATCGTTTAGAAGAAATTAATTGTTTTTCTTCAAGCTATAAAATTTTTCAGCCAAAAAATTTTTCTTGTTTCAAGTAAATATTTTTCAGTTTAACTTTTTTTTTTCTCGATATCATTAGTTTTTTCAAAATGACTATTTAGATTAAAGGTCATTTTTCGTGAATCAAGTAAATTTTTTTATCAGTGTACGATACTTTACTCGAAAAGCTGTTTTTTCTGAAGTGGCCTCATCCTGTTCTTTTTTGTATTGATGTCTTAGATGGACTGCAAGAGACTCCACGAACTCAACAACTTCTAATGTAACTGTAATTACAACAATACTTAAAATAAGATTGGTTAACAATTTTCAATTTTTTTTTCACACGAAACTTAATATGAAATTTTGAATGTACTACGGCTATCTCACGACAACATATTGATAAGAAAACATATAGCTTCATAAATAGCTCCCAGCTATTACAAAGGACTGAACAGTACATAAACATAGCAAAAATTTTGTGTGATAAAAATTGTATTAACCAGTGTGATTATGATGTACTTAAATACTAGGGTGAGTCAAAAAAATCGATCAAAGTTTAAAAAATTTATCAAAAAAAATTTTTTTTTTTAATTTCCTACCACATTAAATTTTTTAAACTTTGATCTCGGATATCTCTGAAATGGTTAATGTAATCGCTTACACATTTCAGATCTTTTTATAGATCATTTAATTTTCTACAAAAATATGTATAAAAATTTAATTAAAAAATTGATCAATAGTGAGATATGATCTTTTTTATAAGAGACTAACAAAAAATATAAAACTGTGATGAGGATAAGCTTCCTATCAATATTAAGAGTTCAAATTTGGTGAGCATTTTCTAGAGGTGCCTGAGAACCAACTTTTCAATATTAGAAGTTAAAAAAATAATAATCGATTTTTTTGACCTACCCTATCAAATACATCGAAATCGCAATTATTATTATTACTTTTTGTTGAAATCAATTTAGAAAACAAGCTCGACATCTCACTTGGTGCTGCATCCGCTTTTAAAACACCAGAATGAGTTGGACCACTTGCACTTTTATTATAACAGTCTCTAATTATGACTTGACCCTCCTTGACATTTCTAGATATAATTTCATTTTCTTTGCTGGTAGATTCAGTCAAACTTTTCATGTTAATTACTAGAGGGGCTGGTGTGATTTCAACTGTCGATGGAAACTCGTACATATCTGATTTATTGATGTTCAGCTGGGAAGAACTACTGCCTTGCACAGAAAAATAATCATTACTTTCCTGCACTGAAGTAGATGGTAGTTGAAAAGGTGGTTCCTGAGGAAAAATGTAAGGTGAAGATGTTGTTACTGAGATAGAAGAGCTAAGATCTTGAGAAGTGTGGACGGGATTGAAAGAACTTAGAGCTTGAGAAGAGTGGACTGGATTTAGAGAACTCAGAACTTGAGAAGTGTGGATTGGATTTAAAGAACTCAAAACTTGAGAGTTATGAACCGGATTAAAAGAGCTCAGAACTTGAGAATTTTGTATTAGGTTGAAAGAAGTCTGAAGTTGGGAAGCTTGTCTAGGGTTACATGAAGTCATCACAGTTGGTTTAAATTCAGACAGGTTAATAAATTGTCTTTGATTATCAACTTGAAAAAATTTGTGCAGAATAGGTTTCTGATTTTGAATTTTTTCATCGATTTTTCTTTTGTTCGACGTTTTAATTCCATTTTGCAATTTCAAATTTTCCTTCAATTCTACTTTTTTACTTATAATTTCGGCAGGAAATATTTTATCGGATGGCGTCGTAATTTCCCCCTTTGTATTCACTAGCATCCGTCTTAAAGATTCTTCATCATCTTCAAAAATCAATAAAAATGTATATGCTTTTCGTTGTAAATAATAATAATTATACTTTCTTAGTTTCATTAAAAAATAAAAATGAAAAAAATCTAAAGATATTTTATTTTTACACTATTTTTAAGGATTATTCGAAATGAATGTCGTAAAAATATGTTATAAAAAATCATGAAACCAAAAGCTTAAAAATTGTTTTTTTCCTAATTCTATGTAATCATTTTTTACCGAAACGCAGGGTTTATAAAATCTCTGCAACTTTCGAAAATATTATTTAAGCTTTCGATTTTTTCAAAGAAATTTTTATCTATCAAAAATACGTAAAAAAAATCCACAATTACGTCTTCCGAAACCTTAAAAGTGACTGACATCTGCAACTTTATATCTTCATAATCATTCAGTAACATTATAATTTTTATAGATTACTTTAAAAATATTCAATAATGAGAAAAAAAATTGAATTCATTTTGTAAATCTAAGATTTTTACCCTTAGTAATTTAAATGCTTGTACCTCAACATGATAATCACTTTTCATTTTTTCACTTAACAATACCGTTGTTCTTTTAACATCCACCTTATTCTTACACTTGATGGACACAACTCCAAATTATTATTGACAATAATTAATTTCCCTTTGTTTATTTTACTGCCTTCATCAGTGATATAACAGGCTTGTACTATAGAATTTTCGAAACTTTTTTAGTTTCTATACACCGCGTTTACAACCCCAAAGTTTTATGCTTTCATTTTTTGTTCAAAGTACAATGTCGCCAAATGATGTAAAGAAAATCAACAAACAGTACTTGGAACCATCTTACAATCGACGTCGAGTGAGTAGAAGAACAAAAGAACGATGGAGACTTATTTTTAAGAAATCTCGCGAGCACTCGACAAGAAATAAAGATCAAAATCATTGTATTTCTTTTACGGCGAATAATAGTAAATTTGAACTTTCTACGGATTATAATAATCAGTCACCAGACTCCAATAACTACAAGATTACAAATTTCGCGGAAAATGAGGCCCCTTCTCATACAGAAATAAGCGGTTCAGAAAGTTCTTCTGATGATTCTGACAGCTCTTCAGATGAAAATGATAATTATTTAAGTAATGATCACCACAATAACTTTTCAATGAATAATTCTGATAATTCATCAGATAGTGATTCCGATAGTTCATCAGATAGTAATTGCGATAGTTCATCAGATAATAAAGCTAACTGCTCACATGATAATCCTCATTCATCATCTAATCATAATTTTACAAAATTTAATACAGATAAATTTCAAGGTAGTTTAACGATGTTTCCTGAAGCACAATTAACGATAGCAGACGTTATTTTTATGATTACAGTATACTCGGTGCAAAAAAATTTAACTCGGAAAGATGAAGATGACCTTATAAATCTTATAAAAATATTAGCTGGTCCAAAATTTGCATCGTGGAATGCTTCGCAGTATGTACGAGATAAAACGTATAATCCTCCCAAGTCCAAAATTAATACGCATTTTTTTTGTACTGATTGTGAGGTTATATTAATTACACATAATAACGGTAAAAAGATGGGAAAGAAATCTGTTAGATGTAAAGATTGCGAACGTGACTACAAACTTACATCAGAAAGCTCCAATCAATTTGTAACCGTTGATCTAAGTTACCAGCTCGAAACTCTTTTGAGAAATGAAGAGATCCAAAAAGACCTATTACAAACATTAGATGTACGTAACGAAAATAAAATTGATGGTGTAATAAATAATATATATGACTCTCAGTTATATAGAAACCTTCAACTTTTCTCACCACATACATTGACATACAATATAAATACTGATGGTGCACCACCCTTTAAAAGTTCTAATTGTAGTTTTTGGCCAATACAATTGTATTTAAACGAACTTTCACCTCAAATACGTAAACAAAATATAATTCTCGGTGGTATGTTCTTGACTTCAACTGAACCAGGACCAAAGTTAATGAAAATTTATTTATCTAAATTTATAGATGATGCTGAAAATCTTATGAAGCAAGGAATAAATATTACTTTGCTAAATTCAAATATACAAAGAAATTTTAAATTTCATTGTCTTCTAATTTGTGTAGATTCAGTTGCAAGACCTGTAATACAAAATCGCTATCAATACAGTGGTTATTATGGTTGTAGTTGGTGTTATGACCACGGAGAATACAACAGTTCAGCCGTTCGATATCCTATTACAGAAAATGATCCTACGTTGAGAACTCATAAGGATTATGTTAATGATGTCGAGGAAGTAGAAAAACAAAAACGACATATTAATGGTGTAAAAGGAAGTTCTGAATTTTTGCGATTAAAAAATATTGATTGTGTATGGAGTTTCCCTGTAGACTATATGCATGGTGTTTTATTGGGTGTTACGCGACAGTTATGGTCTATATGGACTACTCCAAATACTTCATATTACTTGACGCCAACTGATCGTAAAGAAATCAATAAAAGGTATCTTTGTATAAAACGACCACATGAAATTCATCGATTAACTCGGCCTATCAAAACTATGGCAAAATGGAAAGCATCTGAGTGGGAATCATGGCTATTATTTGACAGTTTACCTTGTTTAGTTGGAATTTTGAAAAAAGAATGTTTTGATTCATATTGTTTATTCGTATCAAGCATATTTAAACTGTTATCTGGTAATATAACTGAAAAAAATATATTAGAATGCGAATTAGATTTGTTACAATTTGTTGGTGAATGTCAGCAATTTTATGGAAAATCTGTGATGACCTTTAATCTGCATTCTTTACTTCATATCGGTCAATCAGTACGACTAAGTGGGCCACTCTGTTCCAGTAATACATTTATTTTCGAAAATGAAATATTTTATTATAAACGTGAAATTAACGCTGCTCATGGCGTTTCTCATCAAATAGTTACCTCAAGTCTAAAAAAAAATCATATTCGGCGTAACATCGATAACGGTACTAGTTCAATGATTTGTCGTGATTATTGTAAAAAACTATTTCTTCCCCTAAACTTAACTAATTTTCTACGTACAAATAATGATGCAATGATTACTGGCAGAGCAAACGAACCAAATGCAAGAATTAATGACCTAATTCGTAACTTAAACATTCCACAAATACACTCCTGCAAAATTTATAGCCGCTGCATTCTAAAAAAAATGATTCTCCGTAGTGTTAAGTACACACGCCCAACAAAAACGGATGACACAGTGATTCAGTTAAAATCTGAAAAAATACTCCAAATTCACGATTTTGTTGTTGTTGATAATACCTGCTATTTATACGGTCGTGAGCTTGTAGTAGCCCCTGCGGAATTCTGTACAGCTCGGTTGAATCATATTTATGAAGTGATCGATAAACAAGGTGGTGAGATATTTGTAAATGCAAATGATTTAGAAAAGAAAATAGTATTCTTTTCAACTGGAACCAAAAGTTATATATCATTTTTACCAGAAAATTTGGGAACCTGATTAGATGAAAAAAAATTTTTTTTGTGTTAGAAATGCAAAACATTGATCCTACAAAAATTGGTTCAAATTCTTTTAATAATAAACTATTTAGAACCTATGCATGGGTTTTCTTTATAAAATGTAATGTTTTTAATGTAACTTGAAAAATATATATTTTTAATGAGGACTTTTTAAAATTTTTAGTCAATTGTATGTTCAGTTGTTTGTTAGATAATCTGATGAGCTTTGTAAAACATTTAATTTGTGATTAAAATTTAAATTAATGATATCACCGTTTATCTTTGTAAAATAATTATGTTAAATTGTTATGTCACTTTTATTTCATTATTTTTATATTATTATTGTATGTACGTTTTATTCAAATTATTGAAAATTAAAAATAAATATTTGATTTTACTTAAAACAAAAATATTCAAATTAAAATACTTCGATAAAAGAATGAAATTTGAAATGATGAAAAACGATTGGAAAAGATCAAAATGATTTGATTTGAATACTATTTAAATATACACTGTAAAAAATCCGGAGTGAATCGGGAGTGAATTTCACTCCCATTTCACTCCCCATTCACTCCCATCAGTCGGAGTTCCGGAGTGAAGTAATTAATCACTCCGCGTAAGGAGTGAATCCAGAGTTTTTATTTGCGGAGTGATTTCAGAGTGATTTCGGAGTGATTTAGAATTTCACTCCGAAAAACATCCGCGATCGGAGTTTTTACAATAAATAAAATAAGGATGAATTTTTTTTTATAAATTATTGTTGATCTTGACTACCCATCACATGCACTTTTCATATATTTTATAAATATTATATATATAAGATATATGAAAAAATTCATGTGGGTACTCAAATGAAAGGTCTCGATGAGTATAAAATCACAATGGACTTATATTTATGAAAATGTTAATAATTAACGAATGATGATGTATTTTGTTAACTAATGATGTTTTTAACGATATAAGCTCATTCCGATGTTACACTCATCAAAAGCTTTCATTTGAGTACCCACATGCATTTTTGATATATTTTTCATATATACATATATGGGGCATTCCATGCCAAATCGACCACTTTTGACACCGACCCTTTTCGATTTCTCTGAAATTTTGGTATCTTTCTCTACCCTATTGAAAACAATTTTCAGAATTTTTTCAAATTTTTTTACCCAACCAAAAAAAAGTTACAAGTTATTACAAAAAAACAGCTTTTTTTTGTTAAATAACCATAACTTTTTTGAAAAATGACTTTTTGGGATGTTTTTTTTTTGAAATTTTTGTCTTTAAATGTACTTAAAAAAAAAAAAAATAAAAATAATAATTCGGATTCATATTAAATGTTTTTTTTTTTAACTTTTTGGAAAAAAAACGAAAATTTCGGGATGATTGACATTTTTGATTTTCGATTTTTCTTTTTTATAAAAAAACTTCAGTATTTTTTG